TACATATGGTACCGATATTTTATGGCCATTCATAATATGTTTCTTAATTAAGTAAGTTGGGGAGGGGGTGGTCCTTTTATACATGTATAACAATTTGGTATCAATACATATTGTTGATACTATTAAGAATGAGTTTTTAGATTTCGAGTTATGTTTTTTTCTGGAAATAAACATAAAAAAATCTATTTAGCTTTTTAATATTTTATCTTTTGTAATCCTTTTATATCATGTTATTGGAGGTGTCATAAGATCTCTCAAAAATCATTCAATAGTGTTGAGAATGATTGCTCGTGGCAACCATCTTTGCGTATAAGATTAAAGTTCATAAATCTTATTTAGATCATAAAATCATTACATCCAGTCTTCAAAAATTGTTATGCGCATGCTCCGCTTAAAGATACGAAAAATTGATATTGAGATGAATTATAAGGTAGCAGGAAAAATCAGAAAATATAATTAACATTACATTTCATTACGAACAATTCATTGCGTTTTTAACTGTAAATCATTTTCTGTATACATTCATTATTATTTTCTGCATAAAGGGTTTCGATTGCATGTTTCGAGAAAAAAACAACAAAAAAAACGACAGTTAACACTAGAGCTACAGTGTCAAAAAGCACTATTTTGCTAGTCCTTTGACTTTTCAAAACCTATTTCTAATTACAGCTTGTCTAGAAACTGACGGATATAGCCGATATACTGTTATTATTCACAAATGTGATTTGACCAAACAGAACTTTTGAACGATTAAATTATAACTCATAGTAAAAACTAAACAAAAAAACCCCAAAAAACACCGAATGCTTCTTTGTAAACTTGTTTAATTTTTTATGATGACTGGGCAATATTTATAGTTGGCTTAAGGATGTTTTAAACACATGCAGTAAATAATTGTATTTGTGGAATCATACATAAATGCATTGATTTACCATTATTGGACAAAGCAAGCCACAACAAATTAAAGTTGTCCATATGTGGATTTGGCTGCCAATACCACTATTAAAATTCATTGAAATGATGTTTAAACTGAAGAAATAGAATTTGAAAAATATATAATAAATTATATACACACATAAAAACACAAACACAGAAAAGAGCATCTTTTTATTGGGATGTTTAAATAGTATTGGTAACAACGTCATCAGCCTTATGAAACATTCAATATGTGTTTCTACATATATGTGTTTCACATATGTAGCAGATTCTGCTGTAAAGAGTCATCTTCTGCATCATAGTACGCTACATTGCAAGAGCAATTCCTCTTTTGATATTCCAGCATATGTCATTTGTCTCTTTGGATAGTAAACCTTTCTATTTCCTTTGAAAGTAAACTTTACTTAGTGTTATAAATAATATAGTTTGCATTAAAGCAGCTGAACTCCAGAAAATAACAGAAAAGCTAGGTTTCACAAATATTTCAAATTTTTTCTTCAATAAAATAGACAGAAATCGAAATGACAGTTCAAAAATTCATATTTTAATATTACTGCTCGGAAAATAAACATTTCGCATTTCTGCCAACGGGAAATATTTTCTTTTATTATACTACGGAATTCTTTTATCTGTTTTTTTTTTCTTGTACCACGTATTTGTACAGGACAATCGATTTAAACTCTAGCTTGAAATATGATAGGGTCTACTCTATGACAAATATTGATATACGATGTCGGGACGTTTTCGGATCACTGAAGTGACACGTGACCATGTCTAATGAATTATCTTCTCTTAATTATACTGGTCACTGCATTATGCAAAGGAAAAACACGATATATGCACGCTTTGGCAACATTCTGTCGTGAATTAAGATGTAAATAATAATGGATTCACACATTGAACCTAACCAGATCAGTATCTACCGTTTACTTGAAATTGTATTTGTTTTTTTTTTTCATTTTGCCATCTGGATAAAAAATTTTCAGTGGCTTTAATCTGTTCAAAAGAAAACATGTCAACTTTCCTGACATGTAACATTCTTAATGACCCATTGTATAAGAACCGTATAATACAAACCATTCCTAAACACGAAACATTATTATTATTTCAAACAATTACATGTATTTCATAAATTGTCATAATTACACATACGCCCAGCCAAAAATATATGATTGTTTATTGTTTATTAGTGTGAAACGGAATAACATTGGTGACGTATTTGTAATTGGTTTTCAAGTCTGATTATATCAATTAACTCTAAATAAAAGCAGGTATATAAAATGTGAATTCTGGTCATCGTTCAAGGAACCAAAGCATTTTGATCTATAAGTTTTTTTACTCTCAAGAAAGAAGTTTGCTAGAAAAGTATCTCGTGCGTTAAGAGATTTGAGAGATCCTGGCTTATTAAATCCACAGGAGCCAGAACGTATTCTTTAAATAACCATATTATAAATGTGTCAGATAAAATGCTTTGATAGGGTGCCTGGAGCAATCCTTACTGTCAGTTATCAAGCAAACATTGATTGATTTATCTTGTAAATGGACATTTAATCAGTTGATGGAATTATGGAAGGTGGAATGGCATTCTGATAAATTTGTTCAATTATACTTCAAATATAACATAGCTTACTCAAAATTGTGCACTTCGAAAATACGCTTCACCTATAAATTCTGAACCCTTATATGTATTGCTGAAATCTACATATTAACGCAACAAAAACCAAATCACATGTCGTTTACTTATATAAGATTTCTCTCCTCTTCTTGAATAATTGCCAAAGCGATTTATCTTTAATTTTTTAAATTACAAGATGTAATAGAAATAGTAATATCTTATATTTCTTTGAAATCATGATAAAACACTTTTACTATACAGAATTTTGATTTCGTTTTCGAAAAATAAATCGTCTACATTCTTAAAAGTTAACTTGTTTATAGGAAAACGTAAGTGTTTGAAGCTAAAAAGAATACAATAAAAGACCAACGGTGGTAGTTGTTCGATGGATGTATCATTTGATTAAAATAAGTCGCAATTTAATTTGACCACGATTAAAAGATCCAAATCAGTTCGCCAACGAAAATTTATGAATGATAAGTTACCGTGAACCTTACGTTTCTTTACCAGAAACTCTGTTTCCGCTAGACTAAATTTTAAAAATATTTAAAAAAATTAAGTTACACCAGAAATAGACTTTATAAAACTTTAACGAATCGAATTGTTTATAACACATACATTATCATTAATGTATCCGACGAAAAAGAATTTGTTCTAAGGAATTGTTCAAACAATTACACTTTAATCATCATGTTATGTAAGTAAAACATAAAATTGTGCAAATTGAGGCCAGGTAGATTGTAATACAATGAAAAAACGTGTCGATAATTCTTCAATTTGCGGAAATTTTCAAAGAATATGAAGTTTTTGCGTATTTTTTGTATATATTTTATTATAAAATAAAACAATTTGATAAGAAATAAAACACCACAATGAATTAGTACTTGGCCAACAAATTTTCGGAAACAATTTCAACAATAAAAAAAAAAAAACAGTGTTTTCTGTTTCATTGACGATAACCCTTAGCAAGTGTCGACCGATCTATTTCATACGCATATCGTGATGGAACTGTAAGCATATTTGTACTTTAATGTTCTGTTCAAGTAAGTTAACGAAAATACGTAATTTATACTCAGAGAAGGCAATAAGAACGGCGAGTCTCAAATGGGGCCCTCATTTAATGCGCATGATGTTTAGAACTGGAATGTTTTTGCTGTAGCTTTTTTTGATGTAGCATTTTTTAATAAGTACTAAGGTAACTTTAAGTAAGTAGTTAAAGTTTAATATATACCATTGGATTTGGCAAATATTTGCAAGAAACATGATATGCTTTTAGTTAAATATTCCAAATCATAATAAAAAGTAAGTAGGCACTTTTTAAGAAATGGGCGTGACACAATGTTGTCGTAAACATATGCCACATAATCATTCAACCTGTATTTAATCACCAGAATTTTACAAATCATTATACATTATCAATTAGCCCATGGATTAACTGCAGCGAATTTTCGAATTTGTTTCCCTTTTTTCCAATAGAAGGAAAACAAGATATTTGAATAGCAATAACCTCCATGAAAATTTTCAGAAAATATGTATTTAAATAATGAAGGATTCAAAAGTTCACCCCTGAAGGTTTTACAGTTTTGCATAGTACACAGATGCCATTAAATAACATTTAAATAATTTATCGTTACTAGTTTTATTACACAGGCAAACAGGTATGCCCGATACGGGCTTGGGTTTGAAAAAGTGGTTATGTATCCTTGCTTGTCTAGACGTTTTAAAACCATTTATTTTTTTAAACAAATGCTAACGTAGAGAATGTATATATGACAGAGTGAGATGTGCCACTCTTGTTCTTGGAAATGAACAAGGGCCGGGCAAGATTTAATCAGGTTCTGACCGAAAATTGTATGTGCACGCACCAATGTGTCAATATATTCGAATTATATTTTGCCATCTGTGATAAAACAGTCAGGTTGAGATATTCAAGTAGAGGTTATGACTTTCGAATGACATTTAACTCTCAATACAAATTATTGAATGTTCTTTTTCTGGCAATATCTTTGTAATCAATTTTGACAAATTGTAAACACAAATTAGAACATAACCGTAATGTGTATGACTTTTACTTCTCCTTATATTTGACCCTCAAGAAACATGCAAATGTTCTTTTATAAATTTAAGATGCAACAACAGGTGGAACAATATAATTATACTGCCTTTAGTGAATATGCTTTTAAAATGAAATGATTTTTCAGATCTTGTTTCCTTAGTGAATTGTGCTTTATTATTGATGACTTGGTTTGGATAAAAATATATTCACAATAAAAGCCTCTAAAATGACTCAAATGTCTGTTTTTGCATTTGGTGCTTCAAAATTGTCACCTGGCTTGAAGTGCCTTTTGTTTAAGAAACAAAAGTTGTTTCCAGGGAGCATTTATCGATTTTAGACACAGTTCTAGTACTATTTGTCAAGCGAAATTAACTTTGTTGTATGTATAGTTGATTGATTAACTTGTATGAATCCGTAATTGTAAATTTGTATCTATTTTAGTTCCTGTTGTAAACGTGTCGCTGCATTTGGTTGAACCAAGTTCTAGTTTCATAAAAGAGCATTCCCGACAAACAGTCAAGTGTAAGACATCACCTGGTCGACCACAACCCAATGCAAGCTGGTTTCTTTATGAAGCTAACAATAACGTTAAATATAAAATTACTGTCAATTCATCAATACAGATTATCTATAGCGGAGCTGGACTTGTATCTGTTGAAAGTACCTTACAATTTTATCCAAATAGATCAATAAACGAATGGATGCTGAATTGTGAAGCGTGGACAAACAACGAAACCCGCGCCCATCAGAGCAAAAGATTGACGTTAAATATTGCTTGTGAGTCACTTTTTGAATATATTCTCTGCGATATTATTGATATGATAGGAATATAGCTTACACTTAAAAAGGAACGTTGGGAAATATCTTTATGAAGTTTATTTATTTGTTAAAGGCAGCGACAATGATAAAATATTTCATTTTTAAGAATGACAAAAACAAATAGGCAACCATTGACTGTATACAAGAAAAGGTGATTTCCATAGCAACCATTGATTTGCAATAGCAAACAGTGATTTCCTTAGCAATCATTGAATTTCCATAGCAACCACGGGCTTTCCTAACTTATCAATTGCTTATTCTACTACTGGTTTCAAAGTCATTTCCTACGCAACCATTTACTTCCAGGAATAACCACTGACTTCCAAAAATTATTCAATTTCTACGCAATAAGTGCAATTCATTGAAACCATTCGCTTGTCATAGCAAACATAAACTCTAATAACAACATTTGGCATCCAAAACGGCCAGTGGCTTACAAAGCAACTTGAAACTTTCAATAGCAACTAGTAGCTTCTATTTTTAACAAGTCAATTGACTATTCCTAGCAACCAGTGACTTCGACAGCAACAACTGTTTTTCGATAGCTGCTTGACTTACATAGTTATTATCATTTTAAAAAAAGCCATTGTCTTGCACGGCAACAAGCGACTGTGCATAGCAAGTAGTTCTTCGATAGCAAACAATGGCTCTCTCCAAAGTAATCAGTGACTTCCGTAGACACGATTATCATCAATAGCTGCAATTGCCAGCCCTAATCAACAAATGACTGTCAAATTATTTATTGTATGTTTAACTAGTGTAACCATTCATTTTCCAAAATAACCGATGACTTGTTTTTTTATTCTTATTTAATTTATCATTCCAGTTTTGAACACTGTTGCATTTGTATCAGATGTCCTTAATTTTGACCTAATACCTGTTTCATCAATGGGTATGAATACAAATTGTTCCTTGTCATGTAGAGCCTTCACAATCAGTTGAGCGATATTAATGCTAAATATCACTTACCTCTTATTATTAATGATATGTGTATAACAACTCATAACTGTTTCAAGATCTTTATGTGAATGATTTGATATATGATTGCATTTTTATGGAATAAAACAAAGACCCTCCGGACAGGCCACCTGTTATTTCCGGATTCGAGAACGGCGGAAAGTATCCACTGATAGAATCAGAAATTGGCAAGTTGTCTTGTACTACACATGGTGGGAATCCACTTGCTACTTTGACATGGAAGTGCTATAACAATAAACCGGAATCGACAACCATTGGAGACAAAACCGTTTCCAGCACTGTTACATGGTCAGGTTTACGTGATCAATCATCTTGTACTTGTATTTCAAATCATTCTTGGTCTGGAACAACACGAACTACGACAATACAGATTGATGTTCTTTGTAAGTTTTTATTCTCACAACATTTCGGACAAATAACATACTGTATCATTATTTTGTAAAATTTGTACTTTCCTTAGTAACCACACGGTCTTTAGTCATTGAAAGATAAATAAGCCTCCTGCTTTAAAGTGATAATAGTATCAAAATAATTTAAAAAAAAATGCAAAATGTACTTTAATTTATTTTCAGTATGACTTATATGATAAATGCCAATAATAAACTTTATGAAATATTTTGACATTTTTCAAGACTCTCCAAACAAACCAACATTAACAATCAGCAATACAGACGTTTCAAATGTTATTAACGTTATACTGAACAACACCGTCCACGTTAAATGCGAAAGTAAAAGCAAACCACACCCAACCTACTCATGGACAGGTCCTGCCGACATGCAAAGAACGATACAAATACTAAATGTCACAATTAATGACACAAAAGACAGGAAGTATAAATGCATTGCAACAAATCGAATGGTTAGACAAAATGGTACATACTTAGATCGACGTAATGAATCTGGTGTTACAATAAAGGTGTTATGTATGTATCACTTTTTAACCCTTACTATCTTTTCATTTTTTCATTTTTGAGATGACTGTCATAATGTTTTTATTATCGTTACTTTTTCAAATGTTAATCATTCTCAATTAATTTAATTTCGGTTAGACCTTATTATCTAAGACATACACATTTGGTTATTCAATAATATAATATATTCATAAAATACGTACGCCGCTATCTATCATTTTTATCGTATTCAAATTTAAAAGGAACGTGCACACGCGGGGAAATTGAATATCAATAACATTAAATTTGTTTTATCAGATCCACCTAGGGAGCCTTATTTCAAATATGAGTTTTCAAATGGAACAAAGGTCAGTACTCAAAACATGATAGACGTTATAGCAGGAGACTCGATTTCAATACATTGTCATGCAACAGGAAATCCACCACCTAGTTACAGGTGGGACAGTAATGAAGGCTACGGTATCTTAAAGATAACTACAATTACCTCCGACACAAACAAAACATGCCATGCAATGAACATAATGAAGGAAACAGTCGGTGAACGTCGAACAGGATCGACATACGCCTCATTTATAATCAGAGTTTTTCGTAAGTTTAACTATGACACCATATAGACATGCGTTTAGCTGATTGAAACAAGATTTAAATCATAACTTATAACCGTGTATGTCTTATTTTATAGTGTTCTTTACATTTGAATTACTAAGTAAACTTGTGAGCAAAAACCCTCTTCTACGAGTAATGTTCGTTAAAATACGTAGCCTTTTGTTATTACTCTGTAGTGTTTTATTTTATTATAAAACAGAGTTAGATTTTCTACCTTTTCTACATCAAGTATGATTGTATATTTTCGAAGAAAATAAATTAAAAAATATACATGTAAATCAATAATTAGAACATGCACCTATTAAACGCCGGCGCAATGCAAACGGCAATTAAATGAGACGTCATAATAAAGTAAACGCTTAAATAAAACGCGCCGTTGCATTCGAGGCTACGTTGGTACCGCTTAATCCATGGCCTTTATATTTCTAAATACAAAATACAAGAAACATGTCGCCCTCTCTAGAGGTTTGTGAAATAACGACCGTGACTCGCTCCGCCTGTGCATGTTGTTGTGATCCTTTATGAGTCATTTATGAGGGCATTTAGTGTGAACTAAATAATAACCATGACTTTATTATCTCAGAAAATTATAATATGAGTATGTAAGTTACATATAATTCACGTTTTAAACATGTGAAACATGTGGAAAAAACTGTACATCAGATGTTAAAATCCTATAACGGCATACTTACAGAATAATCTGGATAAAGTAATTATAAATTCGATACATACTTGTTTACAACTGTTATCAAATAAATTTTACATGAACATAAATGCATCTTTACCCTTGACATGTTTAATTTGGATATTCAAATTCCTAAAACTGTAGCAACATCCAGGTGAAACATCTCCACCAGCTCCCAAACGGTCAGACGTCGGCCATCTCCGAAGACACTCTGAATTGACGTAACCACGGAAAGCGAAATGTTTTATTTTTTATCCTCTCCCACTATCATTCTATTGTTTTTCTACTGGTACTTCATATTCGTATGTGCTTTTTTAAAAACAGGGCACAACTAACAGCACTTGCATGTTGTGACTTTTTTATAATTGTGAAATTTTAGGTTGGTGTTTTGCCCAGATTCTGACAAAATTTTATCATTTTGCAAAGTTCTGTTCGGTCTGATGACGGTATTTTGACGTAAAATCTATGAGCTACCTGTAGCCCTATGTGTGTTGTTTACATAAGCTACTTATGTTGAAATAATATTCAAATTTACAGTGATGTCATTAAAATGACCATTCATATTTTTACGGATTAAAAAATACTACAGTCGAAAACTAAAATCAGTCGCACTTATTCATTAAAAGAGAATATATAAATCTTGGGTTGCCCCGGTAGCTGTTACTTTGGCCAATCTCAGGCGTGTGACACGGCCATCTACAATTCTATAAATGTAGTTATGGTACCTATCGATGATGTTTACATTAAAAGCACATACTTTTTTTATTATCCTGTATCGCGTTTGGATTTTATGAAAAGTCTGTGAATTTTCCGAACATCCCTAGTATTTATGGTATTACTTTTACTTTTATAGATACTGTGTTAAAGAAATTGTAAACTGTTTTCTAATATACCTATAAGATGTCTTTGCTCTAAACGACAGTATTAAAATTACGCAAATGCCAGTATTTTTTTTAATTAAATATTTCCACTGTAATTGATAATGATTTTATTCATAGATCCGCCACATATTCCTACTATCACTATTTCGGACGGAACGAGACAAATAAATGTCACAACAGCAACAATACGATTGAAAGAAAGAGACAACATCAATATGACATGTTTTTCTGAAGGAAATCCTGTTCCAAAATACACATGGGAAAGTCCAAATGATAAACTACAAGGAAATATACGTCAATTGACAAGTATCAACCGAAATTATACCGGAAATTACACGTGTCATGTGAGTAACACGATGAAACGCACTTTTGGTGACAGTGAAAATTGGTTTAACATCTCCAGTATATATCTGGAAATATTGTGTAAGTATAAAATACATACAATATACCCGTAAAAATCAAATATATTCATTGGTGAGTAACGTAATATTTCAAACCCTTTCATCCTGCATCGGTTCATCTTTTAAGTTATGTATTGCAAATTTTTATCATCGTTTTATTAAATTCTATTAAAACATGTTTACAGATCCGTCTTCTATTTCTTCGTTAGAAGACGTAAGTATTCCGGAAGGGTCAAACCTGAATGTTACATGCCAAGTTCAAAGGGGAAATCCAAGTTACCAAAATATTTCGTGGACTAGGCCAAGTGATTCCAAGAATTGGAAAGATAGCCGACTGACTATAACTAATGTTTCAAGAGCTGACGATACAAATTATACATGCACTTTACAGAATATAATCATTCCAACAATTGGTGATAAAACAATGACTGTTACGAGCAGAACAATCCGTCTCAATGTTTTATGTGAGTGAATTATGTTAATGTAGCTAGAAACTCATGGGTAATGTTAGTTTTAAAAAGTGTTTTATGTTTAAATTCACGTTTTGTATATATAAGTTTATGAACACGTTTCTTTGATAAGTCTAATTAAGTGATGTTTTCATTCTTATTCTTAATTTAAAGCTACGGGAAATGTGATATTGTGTCATAAAAACGTAAATTATTAAAAACTATTGAAATGCTTAACTGGACTATAATCTAGGATTCAATTTCATTGAATAATAGTTTATTTATAAAAAAAAAGTTATTTAAAACTTTTAAACATGTCTATAAAATTTACTATTTATCTTTTTTTCAGATAATGTTTTCTTATTTTTTTCCAATTTAATCCATTATATTATGTTTGAAAATATCTATGGGCACATAATGTAAAATTACCAAGGGGTATAAACATCACGTTTATTGAATTCAAAACGTTCAATTTTTTTTTCATTTTTATTCAATCTTTGAACGATTACATTTTTAACTAGTTATGAACTTAAATTATACAAAGTCTTATATCCTGGACAGCATATTCGATTTGATATGCCAATGCAGTTAAATAATACTTGGCTCTGGTGTTAACCTGACCTTCCTTTTATCTTTCGAGTCGCAGTTAACTAAAGATACTTTGACCATATACAATAAATTTGACTGCAACATTGTACCAACATTATATTTTACAATTTATAATCAAAATTTTGTCAATGAGAGCTTATATAGACAGGTAGGTAATTAAGGGCCACCCTGACAGTCATGATTTTGTTTGTTTATTTTTGATTGCAGACAAAGCTAATGTCCTAAACTATTCAGTTTGGAACAGTAACACACATGATTCTGTGACGGTTACAGAAAATGAAACAGTTGGTCTACAATGTGAGATAGAAGGAAATCCTACACCCACATGTGAAATATACAATGAACATAATTCTGATACGGAGCATCATATAAAATATTCACCTAACTATGCGACATGTTCTATCAATTTCACAGCAAGTTGTCTTCATTTTGGTGTTTATAAATGTAAAGGTGCCAATCTAATCAACAATTCAGGTTATACGGAGAAAACAATCACCATCTTTGTAGAATGTTAGTAAGATTTACACATTCTTTTATTCAGCATTTATTTTGTTTGGAAACTGGGATGGAAAGTGCATGCTTTGACTCTTTCACTTTTGATTTTTCTATAAAAAATGCTTGTGAAAAATGGGTCTGAACTTTTTAATGTATTTTTCAGAGTAAAATTCGATCTTTAAAATAGTTTAAATGAAGGTAACATATTGAGGAAAATGAAACATACTACCGAAAGAAAACAATAAATCAAAGTATACAATTTTTTTTCAAGTGCCATTTTATTACAACAATATTTACGATGCATGATTTGTAGGTTCTCCAAGGCCAAGCCCTTATGTGCCGGTAATGGATCGTGTTATTGCCGAAATAAATACATCGATAAGTCTTCACTTCACAGCACTGTCCTACCCTAAACCTTACAGTGTCTTGTGGAGAAAATTTGACGGAAAATCATGGACTAATGTAAATGAAAGCAACAATATACGGATATATCAATCGAATTTGGATTTCGGGATGACAATTATTCGAGCATCCAAGGAAGATTTTGGCGAATATAAGCTTTTTATTTCTAACGCCGTTGGATCCTACATTCACAATTTTTATATTGAACACACCGGTAAGTAAGAATATTTTATTTAGATTCAAAGTTTTTTTTGTATATTATAACACACTATGAGCATAAAGAAAATGAAAAATAAATAGCACCATGTTAAAAATGACAAAAAGTTATCATAAAGGACTCTGATTTTTGCTCTAAAAATAAATTATGAAAAATTATAACGTTGTATGACAAATTGACTTAATATGTAAAGACCTTTAATTCTTGCTAAAACGCCTTTCATCAACAATATAAAAACATTAAACATTTATGTTCATGTTGGCATGCTTTTGTAGAAGAAAAGCTTCATTTATGCATAAAAATGCCTAGATTGCAAAACTTTATTTAGTATAAGTTAACATATTTTCTTCAAAATCTGCACTGATTTCTTTCAGCGGTGACATCACAGTCCGATGTTAAGGGCAATACAGGGCTTATAGTTGGGTTAACAATAGTTTTAATATTGTTTGCAACGATCGTGACCGTCTTTAGTGTTATTTGGTACAGAAGAAGGTAATACGTACTTTTAGCTATGAATATGTGAATTTTGTTGTATGATTGTATTAAAATTGTAGAAATTTAAAACTTAGCTTAATAAATAAATTTAGTTTCAAACTTTTGAGACAAAAATCATATTTAGAACGCATGTTAATGTATGAATTAGTTCTTTTTTTCTGTGTTCTTTTTTTTCCTCTGCATAAATGATCCATTATAATGAAATAATTATCCGCTTTTAGAAGAGATTATAAAGGACCAGACACGGATGTTAACAATTCATATCAAAACGTATCAGGTAGGGTATGATCAAGGAATTTCATAACGTGTTAACAATTTGAATATGATAATTAGTGCATCACTTGTCTGTTTTTAAATGAAACTATTGAAGCTTACAAATAATGTCTTTATTAAAAGCATAAAACTAGTTAAAAAGTGTCAACAGAATAACGGTCTCATAAAATTATTAACCATTTGACTGATTGTTTTAAAACATAAATCAAGACTTTGATTAGATACAGACTGATAATATTAAAACACAATCAACATTATTATTATTTCATACATTGTTTTGATATTTTCACTTACACTACATTTGAATATTTTCATTCATTTTTTCTTGCTCATTAGGTGCAAATACTCAACAAAATAGTAATGACAACGAATATGAAAAGATCGGAATGAATGTGAAAGACTCTGAAAACACAGTCAATGGAAGCAGAAAATGTATTGAAGGTGAGGCAAAAATAGTGGCCAATTAAGCAGTTACTTATATGAAATAAGACAAGTCACGTGCTTTCATATTTTTCATTTCCTTTATTGTTTGATAGGTAATGTGTACCAATAGCAAGAGTTTCGTGTTTAAGTGCCATATTTGTGTCAGGTTCAAATACAGGAGAAAACACTTAAATTTCAGATATAGAAGAAAATAATGGCATTCCAGTAACATATGAGAAACTAGCAGATGATCGAAAAAACTTTAGCCTTTACAGTCAGCTATATTCTATGAAAGAGAAACAAGATGGTAATGAAACCGAAAAGAATGTGTCTAGAGGCAAGGACGAACAACATGCCGAACTGTCGAAAATCTATATCAATATGGAAATATAAATACCTTACTCTTGAAAAAAGGCAGGCTACTTGTATTTTTTTGCATGCACTGTATAAAATTTTGTACATGACACACAGACTATAGAAGTATAGTACTAGTTAGCAATAATTCAATTTCTTGTTGAAAAATGCATGTATATACACATACAGTTATTTGATATTGTTTAATTATATTCTTAAACATATTTTTGTATTTAAAGGTGCATAAAATTATGCAATTAAATATACTGAAGATGAACTTTACTTTCATTGATATGCTATTTTTTGTTTTAATTTCCACGAACATTTACATATTATTAGAATCATGTAATATTGTTAAACTATCTTTGAGTGTGGAATTTTGTAAGTAATGCTGTATGAATAGAGCCGTTAATCTATACTCTTCACACACATTGAATTTCATCTTTGCGAATAGGTACATTTATATCAACAATTTATCAATGTTGAAATGTTCTGGTCAACTATTAAAACATTTGCGGTATTTAGATATGACAAGACGAGTCTGAATATATCAACACCTCTTTACAAACATGTTTGCAATATAAATAGTTTCAATATGACAAGTTTAATTTTTTTGAATCACCGATACATATGTGCTCATTTCAAAAACTGTAAATATGTCATTCACTGTATGGATTCATAAGATCGGGTTGAGTACTTATATATTTAAGAATTGTAGCGAGTATAAACAGTCCGTTCTTTCAAGGATTTTGAAGTAGGTGCAATTTAAACAAAATGCAAAACAAAACTGTCATAATTGTTTTTTTTACAAAACTTGCGTGAACGAATAGAACTATTTTCTTTATCAGATATGAAGATTATCAAACAGGAAAACAAATCTTTAATATAATATTTTTATGATTTAACGATGTATAGTCGTTTTTGTGAATTACAAAAGCATTGGCGGTGTTTTTATTTGCCACTTTGATAGAATTTTTTTTTTGTTTTAAGGGTTTCTTTCCTTTACAACTAAATTAACATTATACGTAAATACACTTTTTAAAAAAATATTTGTCCTGCGTTTAAAAAGTTGTCAATAATCGTCTCTCAGTTTGCATACAAATTAAACATATCCTTTCTAAAATACAATCACTAAATATGTCTTTGTATCTTCCTGATGATTTGTGCGTGTAAAACCTCAGAAGCATTACGGTTAATGTATCATTTTAAGGCTGCATATTTGATATAGCGTGTGCTTCGTTTAACTGACTCAAAATTTATGGGTTTTTTTTCGTTTTACTGAATCATTTTTTATGTTCAATGCAACACTGAAGATATAAGGATACGTTAAAGTCGGCGACTTAAAATCACTAACTCTTCACTAATGTGTGTCAGAACACGGCCATGGACTTTGAATTCGTCAATGTTAGGAAGCGTTCCAGCTAGCTTCAATTGTGTCATGTTGATTTATAAATTGACAAACAAGTTACAATAAATAATCATACAAGAAGTCTTTGAAACCATGTTGCAATATATGTTTCCTATGACAACATTATTTAGGACATTGATAGATAACTTCCATCACGTCAAAGTACATCTCAGGAAATGAATTTTGTCCTCCAAGTTATTTTCTTCTTCTTCTTCAAATCTATAATCAGTGTAGTCAAATGATATTGCCTGCTGACTAATGTGTGGAGAAGAATTATTTTCATTTAAAAATCTAAACATTCCTATCGATTAAATAAATGACGAAACAACTAGTCATTTAATTATAGTTTTAAATATTATTCGTAAACAAAATCGAATGCTTATGTATGGATCAATAATACATAAAAAGCGCCAAGCAAATGGAAAAGGAATAATTTGAAATAAACTGATACATTTTTATCATTAATTATATCTATGACTTGTAAATCTATGATTGCATTTTGTTTATCTGTTAACCTGTTGTTTTTGATTCTCCTTAAGGAAAACGTTTTTGTTTGCAAACGATATTTATTAAAGAGAAAATGGTTTAAAGGCTTAATATATCATATTCTGAAAATATAGGTTGGAGTCTCTAGATTAGAGATTGCAATATCGAACATCTTTTCCGAGTATGATTAGGAATGGTACAAGGATGTGTTCAAACAATGGAACAAGCGGCATAGGTGATGCATTGAGGTAAACTTAGAATACTTTGAGAAATAATGAACTTAACAACACGTCGATATAATAAAAAGAAGATACGACCCTAACGTGTCCCGAGTTAATGTTAATCTTGCACATCGTCATGAAAAAATTAATGATGATCGCACAATATTTTTTAAACACATTAATCATTTTAAAATTGCTATTCATATATAGCTGAATAAAGCTAATAGAAAGTCAACGTCCCGTTCTAATGTAAAAGATGTTGCAAAAGATATTGACATCACAAACAACAAACACAAAAAGTATCACATTAATATCAAAATCCATTATGCTTTACTTAATTTAAGTATCGGTCGTCTGTTTAAATAAGCCTACGTATAAACTACCATTAAATAAACATTTACAAACATGCTCTGATATCTTATAACTTCCTTGTTCTTTTAACGGACATGTATACGTTAGGTAAATATTGGTATTAGAGGTATAATAATAGTATATTATGTCAAATCATGTAAATAATAAGAGCGGTAACTTATTTCACGATTATGTCAAAAAACCAAACATGTACATGTCATATGTTGGGTTAACAATAATTATAGTTGTATTATTGCTTGCAACGATCGTGACCGTCTTTGGTGTAATTTGGTACAGAAGAAGGTAATACATGTATATGTGAACTTTGTTGTATGATTGTGTTGAAATTGTAGAAATGCAAAACTAAGCTTAATAAATGAATTTAGTTTCAAACCTTTTAGAAAAAATAAACATATTTAGAACGCATGTTTAAGTTTGTTCCTTTTTTGTGTATTTTTCCTCTGCATAAATGACCAATTATTATGAAATAATTATCCGCTTTAAGGAGAAATCATTACGGACCAGACACGGATGTAAACAATTCATATCACAACGTATCAGGCAGGATATTATCAAGTTTTATAACGTGTTCACAATTTGAAAGTGATAATAAGTGCATCACTTGTCTGTCTTTAAATCAAACTATTGAAGCTTACAAATTCCTTATTTAAAAGCATTGAACTTATTGAAAAGTGTCAACAGAATAACGGTCTTATAAAATTGTTAACCATTTGACTGATTGTTTGAAACATAAATAAACACTTTGATTAGATGCAGACTGATAATATTAAAACACAATTATTATTATTATTATAATTATTTCACACATTGTTTTGATATTTTCACTTACACTACACCCAATTATTTCTTATCATTTGAATATTATCATTCATTTTTTCCTGCTTATTAGGTGCAAATTCTCAACAAAATAGTAATAACAACGAATATGAAAAGATCGGATTGAATGTGAAAAACTCGGAAAACACAATCAATGGAAGCAGTAAATGTATTGAAGGTGAGGCAAAAGTACTGGCCAAATAAGAAGTTATTTTTTTGAATAAATGAAATAACACAAGTCATGTGCCTTCATATTTCGCATATCCTTTATTATTTGATAAGTAATATGTACCAAATGTGTTTAAATGCCGATTTGTGCCAGGTTTAAATTCAGAAGAAAACACTTAAATTCCAGATATAGAAGAAAATAATGGCATTCCAGTAACATATGAGAAACTAGCAGATGATCGAAAAGACTTAAACCAGTACAGTCAGCTTCATTCTACGAAAGAGAAACAAGATGTTAATGAAACCGAAAAGAATGTGTCTAGAGGCAAGGACGAACAACATGCCGAACTGTCGAAAATCTATATCAATATGAAAATATAGATACCCTACTCTTGAACAAAAGGGAATACTACTAGTTTATTATTTGCATGCACTGTATAACATTTTGTACATGAGGTGGAATTATTACATACATCCACCTATACAGACTATTGAAATATATAATACTAGTAAGCCATACTTAAATGTCTTGTTGAAAAATGCATGTATACGCACATACAGTTATTTTTTGATATTGTTTAATTATATTCTTAAACATATTTCTGTATTTAAAGCTACATTTAATAAATGTCATTAAAAAAACTAAATAGAGACATTTCATTAATAAATTGGGTTTTATATCGACTCCAGATCTTATTTTGGTGTCCAGACAACCAAAATGAGTTTTATAAGCATAAAAATGGGTAACCTTATTGTGGCGAAATGGGATGTACAATTTCTGTTTGCATGAGAAACTCCGCCTTCGGATCATCCGTACATCAGTCTTGAATCAACAAACATGACTATAAGTAGCAGTCCTAATTTAACGGTATATTTCCGCATTGTAACGGATATTTTCAAACAAATTTAATCTTTTTACGAGATAATTACTTTCACTGAACCACAGGCTTAGTGCACCGTGAAGCTAAAACGGTTAAAGTGTGTTTGCACAAGAAAATATCATATTTGCTGTGTTCATTTGCATGTTAAAATTCGTATACGAACTTTAGTGTTACCGTTGGGTTTTCCGTTTAAAATCTTAATTCATGAACAATATGTGATGAGATTTACAACAATACTGTTAAACAGGTTAATGAAACTGTAGAAGGTTTGATTTTTAGGCCGACGGCAATTTTTTTTACATATTTATTTAATGTAACTTTAAAGGTGCATAAAATTATGCAATTTAATATACTGATGATGAACTTTACTTTCAATGAAATGTTATTTTGTACTTTAAGTTGCACGAACATTTACACATTATAAGAATCATCTAATATTGTTAAACTGTATTTCAGTGTTCAATTTTGTAAGTTATGCTGTATAAATAGAGCCGTTAATCTACACTCTGATTATTAACACACATTCATCGATGCAAATATGTACATTTTTATCAAAATGTTGAAATGTTCTGGTCAGCGATATAAAATAATAGCGGTATTTAGATGTAACAAGACTCTTTAAATATTTACATGTTTGCAATATAAAGAGTTTCAAGATGACAATTTTAACAAAAACATGGATTCCCTATTTTTTGAGCAAATTTATAAATCACCGATAGCATATGTGCTCCTCCAGTAAATGCATTTCAAACACTGCAAATATTTCATTTCGTTTATTGGGCCATCAATTCTGAAGATAAGATCTAGTTAAGAACTTAAATATTTAAGAATTGTGGCAAATAATAAATAGACAGTTTGTACTTTCATGGATTTTAAAGTGGGTGCAACTTAAACAAACAGTATATCCAAAACGCAAAACAACACTGTCATTATTGTTTTTTTTTTGGACAAAACTTGCGTGAACGAATAAAAATAACTTCTAAGTTATCAATAACTTTCTCTCAGTTTGTATATAAATAAAACATAGTGAGGAAGCTGGCTTATCAGCAACATTGGTCAGTCTTTAGAGCCATCATCAGATCATGTCAAGTTTTTTAAACATGGTCTAGTGATGATAATGCATAATGAATCAAACATATCTAACAGGGAGGGAAAATGGGTGAGTGTGTGGTCCCAAAAGTGATTGCGCTTGATAAAATATCGTTCAAACTCCAACTTCCTCAGGTAAGTCTCGTTAATTAATATTAATTAATCGTTATTAATCGGGATAAATATAAATGTGTAGTGTTTTCATCCCTATTTCTCCACATATCATGTATGATTGTGAAGATGTTTTAGATTGAGTATCATTTTAAGATATTATAATTTGATAATTTGAGGGGAAAAAACAAATATCACAACCAAATAACATAATTGGTTTTATCTTTTTATTAAATACATCAACTTGCAAGTCAATGCCAAATTGAGGGCTCTACAATTTTTTAAGTAAGGAGAACTTTGGCTATTTGAATTTTGATTTGATGCAAATCATCTAGGGGCTTTACCTTCCTACCTGTCTCAAATAAGAATGTTAAAGGTCAAAAATGCATGTGAAAAAATTTAGTTTTTTTTTTCTCAAAAGTATTCTTTTATTTTTATTATACTTATTTCACTTTCAAAGAAATTTGGAAAAAAAGATACACAAACCAAAATAATGGGCACAACTGTTTAGACAAGTATCGATTTTATTTGAATATATTTTTAAACAAACCTTAAGCAAGACTACACTAGGAACTTCGAAAAGACGAAAATATGATTTCTCAATATGCACTCGTCTTCGGCTTATTTCATCAGACTTACTGCGCCTTGAAAATGGAATAAATTGTTGTTTGTCAATTCTCGAGCTTTGTATTATTTAAATAACATATAGGTTTGTGGGTAGCAGAGAAAACACATCATCCCGAGGTTAACAGTATTTTTTACAAAGGATGATATTTGTACTGTTACTTAAAGACCTATTTGTTACATGTGTTTAGTTTATAATCCGAACAAATACTGTTATGATCTAAAAAATTAAACCTAATCTAACTGTATCAACATTGAACCAAGAGTACGCAACTGTCTTTACCGTTTAAGTTGTTAGCGTACTTGAGATTTTATTTATAGTTCACTGTTTCAGCAAATGAATCATAATATCTACAAGTCATAAACATACATTGAGCTGTGTTTGATTAAGAAAACCATAACCACAAACCACAAACCATATATACGCTTACGATCTGTAAAATCTGATCCAATCCAAAATATTCTTCACATGGCTTTTAAAAATGTACATTTACGAAAAACGAAGGTATCCTCCATCTTTCTAACACACCTGTTATGTTTCACTGATTAAAATCGTTAAATAAACCTTGTTTCGTGTTTTAATCGCCTGCTTGTTCGATTTTGACACATAATCACATTACAATAATTATTGATAATTGCCTTATTTACAATTCAACCAAACGACAAAATCCCTCAACAACTAAATTTTATGGGTTTCAGTGTCACTTCGGTGATGCCCTTTCAATGTGTAACCTCGAAAATAAGAGGCTGAATCGGGAAAAACATGGCAGCCATTTTATTTCACTTTGTTAAGAAAATAAATCATATGACCAGATTTTATACTGTTTATTAGTACTGTTATCAATGAAACAGTAAAATGTCTTAGTCACGTTGTACACTTGCATCAAAATTATAGATAAATCCCAGCGGTCAATGAGAAATAAACATTACAAAGAAAGTAAGGGGTAAAAAGTTGTTTAACCCTTTTCTGATAATATGGTGTTATTTAGAAATTTTATAGAAGATTAACAATCAAGTTGCGTATTATAAACATTTTGGTTAACAGGTGAATACTAAAATAATGTTATATCATATTTAAATATCTCTTAACAATTATCTCATTATTTTGATGACACTTTTCTAAACTATGCAAGCCCTGTATGGGGATGTTTTTAAATCAAATACATATAAACTTTTGCAAACATATTTAAGGCAGTAAGAAAAGTTCTAGCAATAAAGCTATAAAGCTGTATACGGAGAATTTGGAAAAAACCTTTTATGTATAAACTTTAATTGTGCAGATGTGACATGTGTGTGTTTTTATATATCTCGTGCACACGAGATACCATGTCATGGCCACATGTGACTAAGTCGTTGCCACAAGTTACGAAGAAACAGAAAGTCCATTGTTCCCATAAACACGACATTTTTCATTAATATGTCTTTCGCCTGTATACCAAGAATACAGCGACCGTATTTGGCCAGAGAAAGGAGACTTTTTCCCAACCATTTTAACTTTAGTATACACGAGTAAGTAGATTTAATTGAGCTGGACTATACTGATAAAACATGTGTTGCATCAATTGAAGCTATGCGCTGCATATACACAGTTCGTGCAAAGCGTGGTTGAAAGCGAGATATTGACCTTATTGCATTCATATTTGAACACACCTCGTAAAATACAAAACGGTAAGTGCAAAACTCCCGGTTTAAAGATGGGATGACATCATATTGACCTAGCTTAAGCTACAACGGGGTGTATCGACCTAAGCACTCCACACACATAAAAGATATCCATGGAAAAGTGTCAATTTCCCTTTTCAGTGAAACTTAGAAAAGTCAACAATACCATGATAAGTTAAATATCAATTTTGAAATTATTACATTTAACATTCATGGGCTTAGAAGAAATTAATACATTTATTGGTAATAACCGATTATTAAGAGTAATATTTTACAGGAACATCCTTGGATTGTTAACACAATTTAAACATTTGATTAAATTTGACCACACTTGTTTCCACTTATTTCCATGTCTTAATAAATCTGAGTCTGCAACATTTTATATTTTTGCTATCTAGGGTTTCATTTTTGTCTATTTTAAGGGAAAGTTTACTCGATATGTCTTTTATGTCTATCTTAGTCATTACAGACTATTCTTGCTGTTTATTAATAGTTGCTGCATTAACATTGGCAGCGTGCTTTCCAGGCAATGGAATATTTACCAATCGTAAGTTCATCAAAGCATGGAAACCTCATGAAGTGAATATGGATAATACGTTTTTTGTTGTTGTTGCTTTTTTGTTGGCTTGACATAACTTAGACTGCATGTTTTGTAGTTTGTTCAGTAAGTTCATAACTACAGGTATTTTGCTATAGGAATTATCCAAACACTGGGTGAAATTAATTATAATTTTCTACCTGTTAATTGTATTTAAATTGTTAACACAAATAATCTTTGGTAAAAATGAAAGGTAGAAAATTAAAGCTATGCATATGGATGCACATGTCCATGAAACAGAGAAAGGATAAAATCCTTAAGTTATCAATTGTGAACACTTTATGTGTATACAGTGAGTTGTTATAAAGTCTGATGAAAGTTTGAAAGGCGGACAGTATTTGTTATTCTAAGAAATAGGCATGTAATGTTTAGACACAACTCAATTTTCACAAAATATAGACTATTTGAGAGTTTGTTTACTTTTTTCTTTTATACTTAGAATATATGTTTTAGTTTTTCAATCTAATAGATTTCAAATTCCATCCAAGTACCAATGTTGGTGGAGTTCATATAATGATATTAAATAGATAATGCGAACTAGTAATGCTATATACATGTATACCTATAGATATGATGAGACTGCATAATATAGAGGATATTTGTTTGTTTGTGTGTAAGATGAAATTTTATTTCATCGAGTGGGCTTTAAAAACAGTATTCTCACGAGTGGCGTAGCCACGAGTGAGAATACTGTTTTTAAAGTTCACGAGATGAAATAAAATTACATCTTACACAACAAACAGACAAATTTTCTTTTTATTTTATGCTTATAAACAAGTTAAAACGAAATTTTCATAATTTTAACGTTAATATTAAAATCTGTTTCCCCCATTGAGAGCCCCATTTAGACGGAATTTCTCATTTAAAACAAGAAGTCTTGAGCTGAAAAATAAGTCCGCTAATCAAGGTAAAATGATGATGATATTTATTCATTTTATTAAAAAAATATGAATGATCGCTTGTTTTAATAATAAAAACAAACAATTCTTGTAGGAGAAAAAGTCCAACCATCCATCCATATTTCTGTTACTTACTGCGAATTTATATTAGACCTGGCTTTGTAAAATGTAAGCGGCAGCCATTTTTTTAAAGTTGTGTATTTCATGGGAGGAAAATAATTGTTTAAGATTCAGAATGATATAATTTGGATTTGTTAGTCATACACCTTTTTAAAAGAGAGAAAACTTATTTGAGGATTGTAACAGACAAAAAATAAGCGTTGACAGAAGTGAAAACATTCAGAAAAGGAGCTATGAATATGGAAAACTTGGAAGCTTGCTAAGGTCAGTAAGGAACGCTGGGTTATTACTTATTTTACGAGTGATGGCTGTCAATGCTTTTCAATTTTTCATAAAGCATACGGCAGTTATTGCTCGTAGGATACTTTAATATGCCCAAATGTCTTCAAGAGCAGTTTTGCATGTGTTTTTCAGACTGTAAAAACGAAACAAAAAAATTTAGAGACGAAATTTGGTGATTGGAATTTGAAGGAATAGAAGTAAGTTTTCTCTCTTTATTTCTTTTGACATTTAAGTTATTTATTTATTTCAGTTTTGCTATTTCTTTTAACAGCCTGACATTGTCAGAATTGTCAGTAAAAATAAAATTGAGGTACCACATGGGGAAAATCTTAAAAAAGTAGTTTCGTCATTGAAAAAAGTGAAATTATTTTTTGATAATTTTCACTGTGAAATTATCAAATATAATTTTCACGGATAAATCAGTAATCCACTGAAAAGCATAAAATAAAATTATGTATTTACAGAGTTTAGGTTATGATATTATTATTAAAGGGATGTGACTTACCTTAATTGTTTTAAATGATATTACATGTATTGATCAGTTCAATTCACATTGCTCTGTAAACATGTGATCATGAGGACAAATTGCAATTAGTTGGGAAATAAAGAAACACTCAAATCACACAATCATTCTTTTTGATTTCGTGAGTCAGAGTGACTAACAGCTTTTACATCTTTAAGAAACCCGTGGAAATTTACAAAATGATCTATTTAAGATATTCGTTTATACCTTTCATTTGTTTTAACTTTTCACTAGTAACAGACGCAAAAACACGGACGCAAACGAACGCTTAAAGTTCCTGAGGATGGCAAACGCACGAGAAACGGAAACATATACAAGAAACTATAAACGATTTACGCTTGGAAACGATGCACGCTTCAGAAACGCTTTTATCAAACGCATTTTGTACGCACGCATGTTATACAAAAAACGTAGGAAAGAAATACGCCATTTTATACAAACGAAACTTTCACCATACTGTATCTAAAATTTCATAGATATTCATTAGTCAAACAATAGATTAGTTCAAAATAACCTAAGCAAATTTAGCTAATTTGCCATTATGAACAGACATGATTAATTAAATTCATGTACAACATGTATCAACTGACAGACACATTATACATAAAATATTAAGGAACTGACGACTTAAAGAAAACACAAGTTGTACGATTGATGGATAGAGTATTTAAACATTTAAGTTTTCTCTATAAATTTAAATTTAACCTAAAGCATGTTAACGAATGAATAATAAACATATAGGCATTTCGATATATATTAATTATATATCGTCAATTCTGTAATTGGTTATTGTACTTGGAATGGAAAAAAATACAACAACATATAATGTCGACAGTGTTATACTTTACATTTATAGTACAGATAATGTCATTTATCTCTAAAGGATCTTCAACTCAATAGTAATAGGTATGCAATGTATACTTAAAATACACAAATCGTTCAAATCAGGAAGTTATGAAGCGGTGTATTGGTACCCACGTAAGGTTATCTTATCAACAAGTATACCTTTTAACGTATATTAAACATGAACCGACATCACTATTATAGTAAATATATAAAATAATGCTAAAATATTTAAACAAAGTACCAATTATTTAAACTTTCATTTACTTTTAAAACTGCATGTGTTTCTTTGTCATGCAAAATGTTACATGTTATACACATTTTAACATTTAATTCCCACCATGACAAAACGTTTTCTATATACAAGTTGTAATTTAAAACGGGATACATGTAAATGCAAAGGGTTAAATAATTTTGTTTTCTGATTTTTTTTCTTCGTCTATTTTATGACCGAGATTACAGTGTACCCGAGTCTGTAAATGTATTCCAAATCAGTTGACATGGACATGTATAAACAGACAGGGACATTATACCTTCAATGTTTGAATACAAATATTAAAGAAGTGAATATTTAAAGAAAACACAAATTGTAAGAGATGATTGAGTATTTGAAGATTTTTATTTTCTCTATGCATTTAAATACCACCTTAAACATGTTAACGGATAAATGTGAAAGGCATTTCGATATATAATTATAACATATAATCAATTATGTAAATGGACATTGTACTTGGAGAAGAAAAACATATAATGTCTGAAATGTTATACTTTATAGTAACGATAATGTCATTTATCACTAAAACGACCTTCAACTTTATCGTTATAGGTATATAATGTATTTTGCTTTAACTACTGTTTACATATTAATCGTTATAACCAGGACGTTTTGGAGAGATGTATTTATAACCAATGAAGTGATTTTATCAACAAGGATACCTTTAAACGTAAGTAGTTATTGATTACTTTATTCAACCTTAACCCATTACTTCATATACACCCCTTTAACGCCTTTTTCACCCCCCCTTTTTGTTGTCTCAAATGATGAAAACATGCCTTATTTAAGCCCCAAACACTTGATTTTGTTTGAGAAATGTTGTTAAAAAGTGACCTCTTTTTCGGCGCGGCCCCCCAACCAAAAGATGCATCAGGGGGTTGCCAGAAGGGGGATGTGCCCCCTTCTGTATGGGGGGGGATGAAGGGGGGCGGAGTCCCCCTCATCGCCAAGAAAATCTTGGACTTGTGAGAGGCTGTAAATGACCCCAGATTGATTATAAGGTAACGTGTAACCAACACTGAAAAGCATTTGACTCTATCTCAATCCATTGAGAAGTTGCAGCACTTTGAAATCACTTTTGATGGAAAAAATCAACGCAAAATAGCAATTTTTTTGCAATTTTGAGATATCCCCTCGTTGCCATGGTAACAGAAAATTTAAGCCTGAGCATGTTGTTGCAAGGGCAATGGTCCAGTTAACATTTGTGCCAAGTTTGATTAGTGTTGAAGCAGTTTTTATAGTATTATAGCAATTTGAACTTGTAACGGGAGACTTTTCAATGAAAACAGCCATTTTTCACAAAATGCTCATGAAGTAATGGGTTAACCGACATAAATTTAGTAAATTAAAATGATAAATTATCTAAAAAAGTACCAATTATCTAATCTACCAAAAACTTTAAAAATGCATGTATTTTTTCTGAACTAGAAATGTGTCGTCAAGCCACGGAACTGGCATACAGCCAGAATTTAAAATGTTATAATATTCAGTTCCAAATTTGTTTGCACAAACTATTGTTTTTTTATTTTAAGTTCAAAGCCCTTAAAACTATTTAATGTTAACACAAATCACTTTATACAAAGTTCAAGGCACTGAAACTATTCAGCGTAAGCTTTTGTTAATTGCATATTGCATATTCTTTGCCAAATCAATGATTACATACATTTCCACAAAAGTATGAATTTTGAAACTGAAAAGTCGAACATTCAAGAGAGATAATTGTGTCCAAAATCATTGAACCATTACCAAATTCAAACTAGAACTGCTTATTCCCCAGATGTATCTATATGTCGAATTTGAGTGGAATGTGTACAACCATTAGGGAGATAATGAATGGAAACTAAAAAATTCAGATGTTTATCAAGTTCAAGAGATATAACTCTGTCAGCTATCATCAAACCATGACCAAATTGAAACTTTGCCAATGTATTCTTATGATATATCAATATGTACCACATTTGGGTAAATAATGGACGGAAACTGAAAATGTCCCTTTTTTCAAAGTCAAAGGGGCATTACTCTGCCAAAATCATCGAACCATGATCAAATTTGAACTAGACCTGTGATCTCTAGGTCAAAATTGACCTTGCCTTGAAATTCACTAGCAGAGTAATGACATAATATACACCCCCCCCCCCAAAAAAAAAAAAAAAAAAAATAACATTGTACACACCTTATATATTTCTCATATAGCATAACTTAGTAGACATCAACAAAAGTGTATAAATCGTGCATCTAGGACTAAAATAGTCTTATTTTCATTATGAGCTTTTGTTTAAATGAAGTCCTATTAAATAGTATCTGCTCAATATTAGTAAAGATTCATCACATTTTATCCGAGTGAAGCATTCATGCTTCTGCTTATTTACGCTGCGTTTATTCTGCCCGTCAAGCCTTTATATCCTATTGAATAGTTTCGAATTGGCCAACACCAGTATAAAACTTTCAAAAATACCAAAAGTTCATATTAATTAAAAAAGTGAGTTCTATTTATAAGATATCGACATTTTTGATATTTTTCAGACAGACCATGAAGAAAGAAATCAGCTTTTTCGTAAAATTGTTACAAGAGTTCTTCTCTTTATTAATCATCGTCGATCACAGAGGTATGTACAAATTTTTGTATAAGCTGAAGCTCAAAATGTTCCCATATTAACATGTTTTGGCATGGTGACTTTTTCTTTGAACACTGGTCTTAGAGAAAAGCATTTTTATGGAATATTACGTATATAATACTAATGATTTCAAACTTATTTAACATAAACATTTTTGAAAATATAAAAGACAATGTTTATTTTGTAATTTCTGTTTAACAATCATTTGATATAATGAGGGTTGTTAACACAGACAAGCAGACTAAAGTTAGATAATACAAAAAAAACACTTCGTTTTTATTCTAAAGGGGTTATGTTTTTGCTTTGATAAAATGCTTCGGTGTCGGTTTAAGCCTTGTAGAATTGCATAATCATAATACATCTAATAACTGTTCTACGTATACATCTTTTTACGGTTAGAAAAAAACTTTCCTCCATATATCACCATATCCTTTAGTGTGTTTTGCTACTGAAAAGGATATTAAATCATGCAAAAGAAGTGTCATGCAATATTGATCATTATTGTCTCAACACCATACTCAAGTATTTCATTAACAGTTTATACAAATTGATTTTGTTATGCAACGCGTCACACAATCATTATGATATTTAAATGACTAAGGGGTCATCATACGATCAAAATGACGGACGATCATTTGTATACATAGAGTAGCATGTTTGAATTTAAGTAAACTCGTACATGACTTCCCTTGAGTTTTTGTAATAAAACCATTTGTTTGTTCGTTTTAAATCCTGTTAGAGAAGTGTCAATACTTTTAATAGACCATACACAAGCACTTTGAAAAAGGTGATTTTCTTTCGCAATAATTCATTTGTTTATTAATAGGACTAAGAGGCTATACTAAACATCGTTTTTCACATTAGCACATAATTACATAAAGAAAGGCATGCATTCCATCTATACGTGACTTTGTTGAGCGAACATAAACCGAAAACGTGAAAAAGCGAACAAACAATTTTCTATTGTCAGCTTCAGAGCGTTGTTACCGTGAAACGCCGTGTGAGCGTGACGTTAATGGCGGAGAAATCATGATTAAAGGCCATCTGTTTAACCCTGAGGTGACGGAAAAGGTCATAGAATTTATCTGAAAATAACCCGTATTGTATGAATAGAGTACAGGCAGACACTAAAAACCAAGTTTTGCAGAGAACCGCAGATTCGTCAACATTTATGGTTTGAAAGGCATACTATCAATTAATTGTCGTTGCAAGACATTGTTTCTAGCATGTAGAAACAATAAAGGAGAATCATACAGAATTCATACAAAAAATTAATGCTTGATAATCGAAAACGGCACATGATCCGCGTTCGCGACCAGTATTCATAACGAAGAATACGTTGATACTATATATGTTGTCCGTTTATCATCAGCGTCCGTATCAGTAGTAGATCAGTAGGATGTTAAATGTAACCAAGGAGAACTCCATATTTTTTTATCTTTATAATTAAAAAATGGGAAAATACCACTGTGGTATAAGAATCATCTATATTATTTTAGGCTATGTGAAATAAAACTCACTGTTAAGGGGACAATTATTTAATTTCTCCTGCTTATTACCCCCCTCCCCATCATTAAAAACAATTTCAAGTATAGTACTGTTACAATTATATTATTGTGATAAAGTCAAATATAGACAATAGTAAGCTTTTTGCTTAAGTGACATTTATAGAATGATATGATCATAAAATAAATGCAGTCCGGCAAATTAGAATTATTTATTATAATGATTAGAATTTTACAATAAAAGTGCAGTTTGCAGACGAATGATATTAGAAACTTGTTATATTTGTAATAAAAAATAATCGTAATATTGAATTAATTGTCATTTATTTGCATAATTTCTATACATAAGTTCTGAGATCTTCCTTTCGCTCACATTGAAAAATACGAAAGTGACTTATAAGATATAAAAAAAAAGCTTTTTAATTGGAATTTATGCTAATATTGCAGTTTCTAGACGTATATTATCAGAAATTAATAATATTTATTGTCAAAAATAGTCATTATGATGATTTATACCCCAATAACTTGCATGATTTAAAGTTATATTAAAAGTCAGCGATCTTCCTTTCGCTCACACTGAAAAATACGAAAGTGACTTATAAAATAATAAATATAGTATTTAAAATGAATTTTTTAAATAATTTTGCAGTTTGTAGACGCATTTTTCATAAATGATATTAATACTTTTTTCAAAAAATAATGATTTTGATGATTTAATATCAATTTATTTGCATAACTTATTTACTGTATACAAGTTCAGAGATCTTGAGAACAAAACGAAAGTGATATATTCGGGCGTCAGTGAGCGAGAGGAAATTTAAGTAAAAATATTAAATGTAGCATTTAAATTGAATTTGCAGTGTGTAGACGTATATTACGAAAACTTTATTTGTTTTGCTTGATTTTTATTAAATCATTAAGATGATTGAATCTTCATTTATTTGCATAATGTTTATACAAGAGCTGAGACATCTATCTTCCTTTCGCTCATTGTGAATCTGACTAAAGTGACTGATTGAATATCAAATATAGAGTTTAAAGAGACTTTAATATTAATATTGCAGTTTGAAGAACGTTACATTTATATATTTTGTAGAAATATTAATGTATCCTAAAGATCATTATGTCCCGATTTTCAGAGAAAACCCAGCTTCTGTTTGTTTTGTCCTATGATCATTAAAGTTGGTAGGGAAGTTGATCATTCACAAATGACCTTTATTGATTTTAAGATCAGTAGGTCAAAGGTCACTAACATAATATATAAAGGGGATATTTATTGGTTAATAATATACAGACAGTGCAATTTTTGTGACCTCGTGTACATACAATTTTCATGTATAATCGCCACAACACGTAACTATGCACTATGCAAGATCAAAGGAAGTTAGAATTCCTTTTTTTTTCCTGCATTAGATATGGCCCTTACTTACTTTGTATACTGTTAACATATTTCACAAGTTGTGTAACTTCAATAAACTGCCGGCGTATGAATATTTAACTTGTATTTATTTACTTACGTAAACATTGTCATACCATATAATCAGTATAATCAAAGGGTCAGACTTTCTCGCAACAGTGGGTGGGGCACGATTTGAACAGTAATTCATTTAATAACCAGAAGCAAATGAACATATTCCTTGATAATTATGTTATTATGTAACATAGACTGCACCAAAGAAGCTATAAGTTGACAGAAACACAAAATAGGGGGAAATAATTGATAGAACAAGTACGAAATACCTTACACTGTAGAACTATTTTGATGTAGCGCCTCTCATTTTACATGTCTTACTGCTTAATAACAAACAAATATTCTTCAGATATGATATGAATACATTAAAGCATTACTCTCAGGAGTACATTTCAATAGTGGAATAACAAAATAAGTAATAAATACTTCTCTGTTTAAGCATAAACAAGAGTATCAAAGCAAGAACCCATACGTTTAGCATTATTTGGGATATTAAGGTATAAAAAGCAAAAAAGTAATCTGTTTTTTCTTTCCAATAAAGTTAAACCTCTTCATGTAAAACGCTTTAAGTGACATCTTCTAGGCAAATTTTCACTTGAAATAAAAAGTGGCAACAAATAAGAGCCAACATTAATATTCTAGAATACTTTGGCGGCCATTTTTGACGCCATCTTGGACTTGAGCCAAATGGATATCCATTCCGAAAACTACAGACCTAGCTAGACGAACAATTTGGTATATAAAACTTGCTGTTGGCTGACATAGACCACGTAGATGTCATTTTACCCTATGAATTTGCAGCACTAAAGGTAGCTCGCGTTGATCGGTCTACCCGCAACATTTGTGGAAACATTTTTTTATTTTTCAGTGTTAATAAGTTATCGCCACTGTCTTGACCAAATCATGCACTTTGACAAAAATAGGTTGGATGACTTCTTTCCACACTATATCATCTGCATATAATAGTATCGGGTCCTTTCTCTCATACTCGTCTATCTTCGTTTAACACATGGTTAATGTTATTGATCTTCATCACTAGATCATTTGCGAAAATGAAGTATATTGTCGGTGAGCCGAGTCTCTAATCTTTACTCAAGTAGTATACGTGAACCAGAATAGCTAATAATTGGACGCATACTTGCAGTAAATGCTGTCAATGGCTGTGTGAATAACATTTAGTAAAAGCATGTCAATGTCACAATAATCAAAACTAATGCGTAAGCCAATAAATGATGCAAATATTTAATTATTGTGGCGAATTATACCGTTTAAGACATGATTCTCACGTCAAAGACGATTGCGCCTTAACCAATTTTGCTCACCTTCCGTTATAATATTTTGTCCATTATTTATTAACTGATTCCACTCTTATGTAATGTGGACAGGGGGGTCTGACATTAGGTATATCAAAATGTGACAAATAATGATTTCCTCACATATGGACGGTATTATGCCAGTATCAAAGCTCAACTGAAAAAGTTCTCTCAAGATTGCACTTCAGAACAAAATATGAATTCTCGTCGTAGCCGCATACGGGATTTAGCTTTTAAAATAACTACACTATTTTTTGTCAGCGTGATGTTCCGTAATTTGTGACATTTTGATTGTATAATGGATTGTTTATATTATTTTCTAACATTGACTTATATATTCTAGCTTGATTTAAATGCTCACTGTGGAAATCACAAGAATCCAGGACATTGTATAATCATTCAAAGTGACATGTCCAACTATCAACATCCTGAGTAACCCATGCGTACTTGTTACATAAACTATATACTTCATGAATGTTGTTCAGTGAAATCAATACCCATGGGTTCCGAAGATTATCTATTAAGAATCACGCATCATCAAGTGAAACAAGACTGTCATTAAAAATAATTTCAAACGGGGTGGTTTTGCCTCTTCTTTGGCCTAGTTAGTTATATTTTCCCGAAATTCCCAGGATTGTTTGTTGTAAATGTTTCAATTTTCCATGTTAATCTAGGTAAGGTAAAAATACGAGATGAACGTGAGCAAACGTGGCAACCGTAAATACTTTTGATGCTGGGTCAGTCTGGTATACTGTCACAAAACTTGCCACGTGAACTTCAGTGTGCCGATACTCCCTGTCATTCATTGTTTTGTTATGTTCCGTTTCATCAACATTGTTATGGCCAGGTAACGTATACGATAGCCAATTCGTAACGTTTTGATTTCTCCCCGGTGTAAAGTGTTTTGACGGAAGATGCGTCAGGGCAGATTGATTACGGTTTGACACGGCCAGCTCGGTCTTGATTATTTATAAAAAAAACTGAGCCCGACAGGAGATCTTCCAGATATAATCTTTTACATAACCAATTTTCTTTGGGAAATATCTTTAAAATTGATGCCAATGTTCTACTGCTTAAAAAAAAACAAAACAATATTGTATCCCGAAAGACAATTAAAAAGTTGTATCGAAAATAAGTTCTAGGCCATGAATGATAATTTGAATAGATGACTTCATGAAATATAGGTAACAATTAGCTTAATAATCAATGACCGATTTATGCCCGACAGCCATCGGTCGTCGTTCATTGCCAACATTTTACTTTTACTCTGTGCTACACATGAAAGTATTATTTTTTATATTCTCATTTGTTTTAAATCTGCTGTACAATTATTTGTAAAGGCTTAAATGAATATTTAAAGTTGTTAAAGCAAATCACTTTGCCATACTTCCAATTCAACGCCAAGAACGTTTAGACCATATTTGCATTGCCTAAAAATGACATTTTGCAGTTTCGTTGCATACAATCTCAAGAGTGTTGCACAAATAAATGGTTACAGTTCAAAACAGTTTACTTAAAGTTTATTTACTCTTTAAGGAAGTGACATGATATATTACAAAATTCACAAGTGTTTTTTTTAATTTTTATCTTTTTTGTTAGTTTTTGCAGACATCAGACTTGAGCCGTCTAATGGCATTGTATCTGAAAACACATCTTTTACATGGAATTGCACATTTAGTCCAATCGATAGCTTTATATCCTGGAAAGTGAATGATAATGGAACCGCATACATCGACCAACAAAAATGTACTGGTACTGGATTTCTAAATGAAAGAGATAAATATAAAACCGATTGTGGCACTGGCTGGATTTCCGTTCAAATACGTAATGTTAACAGAAACAATAATGGAGAAGAATGGCATTGTCAAATTGTAGGGACATTCCAAGGTCAGAAAGTAACGTTGCAAGTTCAAGGTAAGACCACACTCTTGAATATTTCGTCTCCTGATTTAAAAAAAATTGAATAAAAAAACTCCATTTTAGCATTTAAAAAAAAAACATGGAAAAAGATTTGTGCTTGAAAAAAAAACCACAACGTTAAACGGTAAGTGCAATTTAATTCGATATTGGCAATGTAGATGTGTGAGAATTGAACGTTTTTTATCGTAATTATACAGTTTGTAAGTCAACGTCATTGAAAGTTCAGCGATTTGCATTCATAGATTCGAACCCTACGCTCAGCAGTATGAAGTTGTTTTTTCTTCTTTTTTATTGATTTTCTTTGTCTTTTTATGATCATTTGAAAACATTCTTTTCTGAGGTATTTTTTAATAATATTTATTTCTAATTTCATTTGTGCACCCATCACTATAAAACAACAGCATACCAGGTAATTAGATAACGTTTTTAAGAACTTTTATTAAACTTTTTTAAAATCTAACATTTTTAAACATACTACTTTTACAAAACAATTTGTAGTATTATTCAACATTCGTTATAACGTTACAACGTCTATATTTCTAATGCCGCCATTTTTCACCTCGCTTTCTCTTGACATTTACTTGAAAGCCCATTGTAATAAATAATTATATAGTGTAAAAAGTATTTTGTCTCATGCATTTGAATTTGAAACAAAACTGGTCACACATATGCATGTGTTCAAACAATAATTGTTTTTATTAAGAAACCTTAAATAATAATACGTAAATAATATGATACCTGAAGGTGACTCACGTAAATGTATCAATACAACCCTGAAACGGAAGCACTGCAATGCACATGATAACATAACATTTCACGTTGCGTTTTATTAATATAAGGATAAAGTTTATTTAACCCATTTTAACATTGTTATTGGCGACGCCGGTAGGCGGCGTCATCTCTTTTTGAATGATTTTTATTTTGGCCTATGGAAGGAGCTGTTATTATTAGCAGTTAATGTCATGTTGTGTTAATTAGTTTTATTTTAATTCGTAAACATCAAGTTAACAAATATGTTGTTATATTTGTACTTAAAAACTTTATATAAAAAGCATGTGCATTGTGATATTATTTTCACGAAATTGCAGGCTCAGTTTAAAAGCTTGTCCCTTAGCTTTATTGACAATACTAAAACCCGGATTTCGAATATCGTTGTGGTCTACATTGATGCCGTTTTCTTTTTCATTCCTTTATATATTTTCAAAATTTTACTACAAGAAGAACGTTCACCATGCCCTTGTGCCCTGTCCTATTTTTGTTTAGGTGGCCTCATGCGCTCCTTGCCACTGGCTCTCGTTGCTGAGTCGGGTATGGGTTGCGTTCATTGAACGCCGCCTTTCCTTGTTGATCATATTTTAGGATAGGTAATGGAACTTGTAAGCGATTATCCTATTGATTTTATTCATATGACGTTTATCTATTGCACAGAATGATTGTTTTTACAAAGTGTACCAGTATCCGGATGTTGAAAGCTATCTTTTGGGTTTCAGGTTTTCTCTATTTTAAGGGGAGATAAGTCATGTTTACTAAATTATTTGTTCTTTTCTGTCTATCTAAGGTATTACTATTTTATTGTATAAAATTTACCAGTTGTAAGGTCATCAAAAGCATAGAGGCCCTGAGGAGTGAATATTGATAGATTGTTTTTACTGGTTTTATATACCTTCAACTGGATTTTTCTAGTTTGCTCAGTTAGTACATACCTACAGGTATTCTGCTACAGGAATCTTCTTATCACTATGTGAAACTAATTATTATTTTCTATGTGTTTGTATATAAATTGTTAACCTTTTATTCAAAATGAAAGGTAGAAAATTAAAGCTATGCATATAGGTGCTCATGTCCATATATTAAAACAGAGAAAGGATAACATCCTGAAGTTATCAGTTTTAAACACTTGATATATATGCAGCTAGTTATATTTATTAAAGTCTAATGGAAGGTTCAAAGAGGGACAATATTTGTTTCTGTAAGAGATATGCATTTAATGTATAGAAACTCACACAACTCAATCTTTATTATATGATATAGACTATTTGAGATTTTTTATTACTTTTATACTATACATTATAGTTTTCTTTCTACAAGATTATGAATTCCATCCATGTACCAATGTTAACAGGGTGTTACATTTATTTCTAATGGAAACTGGGAATTATTAATGTAATGTGCATACATGTGTATCTAAGTATATGGATATATTGTGTATTTCTGTATTTAAAGACTTGTGCACTAAATTTTATAATGGGTGATTTGTGCCACATGAAAACCAACAAAGTACAAAAAGTAACCGGGCGCCAGATGAAAACATGAAAATACCATCTACCACAAAGTGGTTCGTTTGTTGCATTTTCATGTTTTCACCCGGTGCCCCTGATGCAAAATATAAATCAGCCTTCATAAAATTTCTTATGATAGAAAAAAAGGTTAGTTTTTTATCCGTACAAAAAATAGATATTGTACATGTATGAGTACAGTTTTTTTCACTTTTAAATTGACCTGTTATAAATAATGGCACAACCAATAACTGTCTAAGCCCTTTTAAGTAAAAATAATTATACAATATATAAATTGTTATTTTGATAATGACTATCAGTATGTAAGGTTTTTTTCTTATTTGTTTCATTAAGAATTAATCTACCTGTTAATTTAAAAATCTAAACGTATCTGTCACGGGTTAGAACTGTTCACTATTTAGGGGAGAAAATGTGTAAGCGGCCAGATAGCTAAATAGCTACAGCCGCGGTACATAATTCTGTGGGTCACAGGTTCGAGTTCTGGTCAAGCGGAAAGTTTGTCTCATCCTGTGACTGCATATAACCCTGAGTTTAATTTAACTTTACTCTGTAAACATCAGAAATTAAAGGACACACATTAATATAGTGGGGAAATATGTTGTGGTTTAGAACTGTTTCATTATTAAAGAGAAAATGTGTAGCCGGCTGGATAGCTCAGTTGGTTTCCTGACAGTCATGGGTTTAAGTCATGGTCAGGCAGTTTCAGTCAGGGTTTAGAAGTGGTTTTCAAGTGACTCATGTGTGATTCATTTAACATATTGTATTTAATTTGAAATGGACAAGGCAGTATTGCATGATACTTTTAGATCTACATAAGACATTTGATACAGTTGATCACACTATACTGAACATGAAGAAGTTCTTCTTCTTCTTCATGAAACTTCAAGCATCTGCCATAGGTAATGACATTCTTACATGGTTCAAGTCTTATCTCTGATAGACAGCAGCTAGTGGATGTGGCTGGTACTCATTCTTCTACTGCTCCGAGTACCTATGGTGTCCCCCTGAGGTTCATTTTAGGTCCTCTTTCATGTCTAATATATGCCAATGACATGTCTGCAACCCTATGCAATAAGCTTTTATTATTCGCTGATGACTCAGGTATCCTTGTTTCTGGTAAAATAAATCTGAAGAACTTCTCTCTTATGACATGAGTCTTATAAGATTGGTTAATTGTCTATAAATTGTCGTTGCATCTTGGCTAGACAGAGTCTATTCTTTATGGTTTAAGTTTCAACTTAAACTGGGCCTAGCCTCCAGGTCAAATGTAATGGTACTGCTGTAAAGTACACATCTTTTGTTAAGTATTTAGGTGCAAAACTTGATCAAATTTCATTCGCGTCGCCTTTGATGCTTTGCATCAATGCTTTTCTTGTTGATCTTTGTCAAAAAATAAGTATAGCTCACTATAGCAAGTACAAATGTTGCTGCAATTGAGAATCTCCGCGCAAATATGCGCTCATGACGGATAACATGTCAAATAATTCCTGCTCAAGGTTATTTACCATCTAGCTTACTGATATACCTTTTTCTGATTGTTCATTTAAGTTTGCATAATCATACTTATCTCGTATACACTGTCCATAAGAGAGGGTCAGGTATTAAGTATAAAAATATGCTTACACTTATTCTACCTGGTAATAAAAGTAATTCCAATACAAAACAAAATTGCAAAACAAGACCTAGAAGACTTGTAATGTAACAAGACAACTAGTAGAGCAGCAGTGTTCCGTTTGCGTTACTATTTATAAAATATAACCATTCCGTTTCCAAAGTTGTTCTGTTAAACGATTTATTACCTAAAGTACTTAAAATATCTAATGCTCTTTATCAAAATCTTTAAAACTAGTAATGGAAATCTGGAGGATATTTTCGTTAACCTGTCTCCAGTAGAAGTAAATTGAAGGATTAAATCATCAAATCGGGTTTATTGACAAACAAATGTAAAACAATTTTCTAGACGATTTGAAATATTGAAATTTGACTGTATATTTTGTTGCAAAAGTGATGGAAGTGACGCGCTTTTGAAACAACAGCAACAACACTTACAACAACTGTTACAATATTATTATCATCATTATTATCATCATGCTCTATCAATCAACATTATTTATAGTACAAAACAATTCTGTAAACATGTAACGAAAACACATTATACATAAAGATATAATCAGAAGTTTATCAGTGCTGTTTCTACTCGTGCGGTATGTTAATTATATTTGTTTTTAAATAAATAAATAAAATAAAAGTTAATTGGTTTAAAATGGAAGGTATGTAATACAACTGACAATTTTGTTTATAGTATTCGTCACAACGATATTTTTATATGGAAGTTGTTTTAAAGTAATAAATGCTTGATCCAATATGTCGTAACAATATATAACAGCATTTATATAGTAGATTTTTTTTCAAGAACAAAATATCATTGTTCATCAAATAATTGCTCATTATTAATGACTTCAAGCTCTATTAATATTTAACAAGAACTATGAAATAGTTATATTATAGAATATTTGAAAACAGATGTGAATAATTTGCTCATGATAAAATCTATACTGATAACTTTAAAACCATCTTCACAAACATTTTCTGAAAACTATTGTTTTATGTAGAAAGCGTCATGGTGACTTAGCTTTACCGATAGAACGTATTTGTATAATATTCACAAAATAAACCAAAATGGAAATGAATTATGATTAAAGTATACAGGATTGTTTGCATGATGCGATTTTCCCATATCAATTATTATT